ATTCCTGCTAAGATGATACGTTATCAAGATAAAAAAAACTTACAAATCTTTCTGATAAAGGATATTTCTTTGGCGAAATTGTCGTTATGCTACAAAGCTAGACATAAACGTATCTTTTGCTCGAAGTTGTATTTATTATCAAACATAGAGGAAAAGAACTCAAAAAAAAAAGAATCTCAAACATCGTATCGTCCAACCTATATTCCTTTGGATCATTTTCCGACTTCGTGGGCGTGTCCAGGTATTCGACTTGACGACGCTTATCGTCGCTGGCTGTGATCTTCACCTCCGGCATTATGTCGGCGCGCAAAAAATAGGGATCGAGGTTAGGTGGACGTACGGAGTAGGATCTGATCGAGGAGTCCACGACAGAATCTCGACTTTCCTTCGACTTCCTCTCCAGCGGACTCTGCACGTGCTTCCTCAGCACTTTAGCTGACAGAAACACGTGTTTCCTCTCGTATCTGGCAACGATCCATCGTAGAAAGAGGGAGAATCCACGTGTCATACGAGACACATGAGCGATGTAGAAAGTGGACTATAGAAAAAATCCAAGAAGCATGAAAAATTTAAGGGCGTTTTCCATAACATTTAATTTAATAAATTAATTTAATTTAATAAATTTAATTTAATTTGAAGGGCACAGTGTAACACATAATGCCACATGATTGGCTATCAAATGAAGAAATTTAAAATTTTTTATTTGATAGCCAATCGTGTGCTGTTGTGTCTTACACTGTGTCATCTAATTTCGAGCCTCAAGCTTCAATTGGTCATAATTTTTTCGTCCTATTCCATATTTAGTTACATATAGAAATCAGTGTTACACTTCGAGACTGAGAATTTATTTTTCAGCGTTGGTGACACTGAAATCAGAGTTTCGCATTGTCTCCGCCCGGGGTCCCTAATATCAATTAATAAGAGTTTGTCCATCTCTATAACATTGAGATATATTGATCTATCTCATATTTAATTACATATAGAGATCAGTGGTCTCTTTCTCTCTCTCTCTTTTTCTTTTCTCTTCTCTCTCCTTTCTCCTGCCGATCCTTAAAACTTTAGCTTTATTCAAAGTAGAATAAATGTGAGTGAAGCGAAAACTTATGCAATCATTTGACAGAATCAATCTACGATATTTTGTAATTTTTAAAAGCCAAACACAAATTATATTAATGATAATAATAAAAATAAATATTTTCGAAAATTTAATTTTCCTAAACAACAAATATATAAAATTCTAGAATTTTTTGGAAGTATATATGAATCTTGAAATTTTCA